ACTGTAACAGAAAGACAATCAAGATTGTAAAACTATAAGTAGTAGAGCAGAAAAGGAATAAGACATTGATTCTTTCAGCATTAAACTCTCTCTCTCTCTCTCTCTCTCTCTTTTTCCAAGAATTCAGGAGGTTGGCCCCTCGAAGAGCCCTGAGTTAGGCAGGTTCCTAACATGATATTATAGAATAAGTATAATATGCAAATCATATCAACAAATGGAATCATATATTAATTTTTTAAACCCTTAAATTTATTCAAAGTGCATGAAGAATGATCTTGAAATGGTATAATCATTTTAAAAACATCATTTTATCAATTTATAATGTTATAATTATTTAAAAAATCTTAAATATCTTAACAGATTAATATTTATAATAAACCTAAATGAAATTTCCAATATTTTACTTGGTATTATTGGACCATACTAAAGTTTAGGACCATACTCAGTCTACCACTCTATACAAAAAATGCTAAAGTTTAGGACCATACTCAGTCTACCACTCCCAAGACCCCAGATATCTGGACCAACGTTGGGTAATGACCTTTTTTTTTCTTATTTTTAAGTAGTTGACATTTTTAGCAAAGTTGAAATATAAAACCTTGATTACATGGATAATTACGATGCAGACAACAGTCCACTGTACATGATTGTTTGATTGACATTCCTGAATGATGGCCTTATCTTTCTGGGAAAATAAGCTCCTTAATCATCATCGTTATTGTTTATTCTCCTTTAACAGAAAGTGTTTTATAATAGGTTCATTAACCATATTTCTATCAGATATACTCTATGAGATATCTGTCATCTGATAATAACTTGCTTTTTCTTTTGTTTGTTTTGTCTCCAGAGTATGCTTACACAATGAAAGTCACAGAGAAATGTGATATCTATAGTTTTGGGGTTGTTTTACTGGAATTAATTACTGGTAGATCTCCTGTTCAACCCCTCAATCAAGGAGGAGACCTGGTCACATGGGTGAGAAGATCAATACAAAATAAAGTGCCAACATCTGATATATTTGATGAACGGCTGGATCTTAGCAGAAGGAAAACAGTAGAGGAGATGTCTCTAGTTCTCAAGATTGCTTTGTTTTGCACTAACACATCCCCAGTCAATAGACCAACCATGAAAGAGGTCATTGCTATGTTGCTAGATGCTAGGGAGGCCTCATGCAACTCTCCATCATCTCCAACGTCTGAAACCCCTTTAGATGAAGAGGCTGCTTCCAGAGGTTAGCCCTGTGGTTCCTATAAAATTTCAGGCTGGCTGTAAATGAAATATCTATACATGTGTATGGTACACTTACGGGTCTTGGCTTTTCACTTTTGATGGATCTAGATAGAAATTCCTAACATGAAAGATAGTTTCTACACTAGATTTTGATAGTCTGATAAGAAAATATTCACATAGAAGGTTTACCAGGTTAGGTGAAATACTGAAATCCATTGAATGGGGTCTGACAATTTACCTGCATGTCCCATGTAACTTGTTTTTCAGTTTGTAGATAGATAAGTATCACCAAGCATAGGATGATTCTGTGATAACTATATTAAACTAAATATTCACTTTTCTATAATTTCTTGTGTTAATTTAAATCCAATAAAAGATGAAGCAGATTATGTTTTCTCTTTGGGAAAAAATATTCTCAAATGGGACAACCTAAACCAGAAACAAGCTATTTCCAACAACCATCCACAATGAAAGAGAGGCACCTTAAGGTCTCATTTTGAAACTTGTAATAGAAAGGCTCAATTCTTTTTATTAAAACAAGTACATGGAAACCTCAGTAGTGACTCCATCCTTTCTCTGTGGCATGGAATTTTGGTATGCTGACAAGGAGCATGGAGACCTCAGTTACTTGAACCACAATCATGAATCATATGAAATCTTCTTCATTCTTTCTAATCATATACAAACTAGTATAACCAATGGATATGGCACCAGACACCACTTGATAATACCTCTGGATGAATGTTTTAGGAAGTAATTAAGATTCTAGTTCAAATTAACGTTTTGGGTTATGAACTAACAGGTTAGAGTTGTATGGAACAATATTTAGAATGATTAGGAAGAAAAAGAAGTAGAAAGAAAAAGGAGTTTTATATGGACAGACTTGAGTTGTATTAAACTATTATCATGTTGATGGAGAAATGGGTAAAACCTAAAATGAGAAGGGGAGAAGTTCAAGGAATTTATGGAATAATGTGCATCCAACAAAAGGAAACAAATGTATGTTGCACTAGCTTGAAATGAAAGGGTCCATTTACATGGGAGTTTCTCTCAACTCTGCAGGTTTTTAGAGTGTCTATTGACTGGGCGATTTTAGATGGCGATTTCTCTTCCCTGGATGTTAAAGTAGGATAAAAATAATGTTTTGAAAATTTGGAGGTATATATATTTTCGAATCAATTTGGCCCTAAGAATCAACAAAAGAATGAAAAAAAGCAGTAGAAGAAAGAGAAGGAAATACCTATGATTCGCTTGAAGTTTACTTTTTTTTTTTAGATCAATAACCAGAGCTTGAAGTTTACTGTTTCTATGAGTTTATCCTTTGTAAGTTCACTCTTAAGTTTTTTGAATATATATATATATACTTTCACTTTTTTCCAATGGAAAAAATATTAGGTTGTCTATACAGCTAGAATTAGGAATAACTCTCAAGGTTTTGAGTGTATCACACAACCAAGGGTATCTGTAGCAGAAAAACACCAATAACCATGGAAACTTAAAAAATTAAAAATTAAAAAAAAAGCATGTGAAAGGTGACTCAACAAGACAAATCCTATGGCCAGACCACATTGGGAAAATGAAAATCACAAGAGTGACCCTGTTGTCAATTAAATACAAAAAATAAAATAATTTAAAGAAAAAAACCCTATAACCTTCATGATCACTGCTGATCAAGGTCAATCATCATGAGTCTAACGATGGAAGAAACTAAAGATTATGCTTTGATACCAAGTTGTAAACTCAGAAAAGCAATAAATCTTGTATATTGTAGTAGAAAATAAAATAAAAGAAGAAAACTGGTCTGAAAAAAATGAATAGAAGGGGGAGAAGAGAAACTAGGTTGGTAGAAAGCAATCATAGGTTTCTTACGCTCCCATCACTTTTATTATTCTTCGTAATTTACAATGAAAAAAATGACTAAATTGCCCCTTAACTGTGGCAACAATAAAAGAGTATAAGATGTAAATAAGAATGTGGCCCAACAAACCCACTACAGAGTCATTCCATAAACTAAATAAAGATAATAAAAAATATAAAGCTGTAAGCCCATTTTTCAACAGGGGTGTCCAAATATGGGAATAATCAAAGATGGCTCAACACAAAAAGAAAAAAATGGCCAAAATGAGAAAACCTTGTGTTTGATGAAAATTAAGGAAAAACTAACCTAGATCAATTTCAATCCTTTGGAAATTCAATTTCAGTCTTTCGGAATGAGTGCCATATGTGTTGGGGTTGTCTTATTTTTTAACCACTGGATTAGTTTTTAATCTAACGGTCAGTGTGGTCTGTCCTTATTTTAAGGCAGGTTTTACATATAAAAGGTTTCTTTTGTATGTAGGTTTAGTAAGTAGAAAGAAAGAAGTTTGTTCTTTTTCTTGTTGGAGAGAAGAAAAAAGAGAGGTTGAGAGAAAGAAAATGCTCTTGGTGTAAGAATGGGTTTTTTTTTTTTTTCATATTTTTTGTTCTTTAGGTTGAAAGAGGAAAGGGAGAACAAGTGTACAAGAGTTAAGGGTTGGCTTAAATTGCAAGCCACGAGGTATCTATACTATTTGTCATTTTCCCATTTTTTATAGTGAAGAATGGTTTTCATTTCTCCTGTGGACATAGACGGTAAGGCGAACCACACAAGTCCTTTGTGTTCTTGGTTATGTTTGTTTTTATTTGTCTTTGCTTGGATTTCATTATTTTTGTTGCTGTTGGATTTTCTTGGTTGCTATTTTATTTTAAATATTATGGTTTTATCCTATGGTGATTATTGTGAACCCCAACATTTTGATAAAGAATCTATGGTTGTAATAGCTTCTTGAAAGATTAAATAGAAAACAACGAAAGAGAGAGAGAGAGAAGAGAAGAGAAAAATCCAGAAACACTTAACAAGTCATTCTAATGCATAGGAATCACCCACCACAAGAATAATATGAAGAAAAAACATTCATATATCATTCTAATATCGATCTCAATGTTTTTTAGTTGTAACACATTCATAGATACTATGGGGGTGGCCAATCTTAACAGTACTGGGAAAAAAAATACAAAATTTCTACTATCATATGAGAACATAATAACTTTTAAACCACTTAAAAAATATTTATGAAACTTTAGACACAAAAAAAAAAATCCCTTTCCAATGTGAGTTGCATCCATTCACATATGCATCCCAACATCCATAATGCTCAAGAAAAATATATTAACATAGAAATCCAAAGCACTACAAAATCAATGCTGAATGTAGGTATCAAGAAAGAAAAGAGAGAGAGAGAGAGAGAGAGAGAGAGAGAGAGAGAATAAGAGGAAGAATCTTGGTGGATCCAATGGCACCCTTGCCCTTATTTTAATAGGTTGACATAATAAAAGGAGGAAAGATAATAATGCCTTTGCACTACTAACAAGGCACAATATATAATGCATTACAACACTCCCCTCAAGTTGGGGTATAAATATCAATCATCCTCAACTTGGTACATAATCTGTTATGGTGCAAGGCACTTACTCCTTTGTAAAGACATCAATCAGACTAGGTCGAATGGGCTCTAACCCGTTATTTTCTTATTATTGTTCTTCCTAGTTGCTTTGTTTGTTAATGGGCTTTTCCTATATGTTTTTTAAGTAGATTGATAAGTTGGCCGCTCACTCAAGGGAAAAGTTGTAATTTGATTAGTTTTAGTAAGATTAATAAAAGTTAAGAGAGGTAGAAGGGGAGATTATCCAACTCTTCTTCTTTTCTCCCTTTTTCTCCTTTCTTGTTGTCTTCCCCTTTACTTTCTTTCCTTGCTTAAATCTAAAATTATTTTGCAGAATTTTATTGTATTAAATCACATCTTGTATTATAGCAAGTCTTCCTTCTTTTTATTTTTCTTTCTTTTTCCCATACACTCTTTGATGGAGAGATAAGTTGTTGATTGTTCAAAGAACTTTTATGCCTAGTTGGTAGAGGGTTTGGAGAGTTAAAATCAGGTTGTAGATTGCCAAGAAAGTGAGGTTGGTGATTTTTTGCCCAAAACCCTAACCAACTAGAGAATTTCCAATTACAGGATAAAGAGATAGTTTGGGCATGGCGCTCAAGGATTTTGGGGTTCCTTTGATCTCTAGAAGAGGGTGGTTGTAGTTGGAAGAAGTTAAAGATGCTCTGGTAGGAGTGGTTGCTTATCCCTTTCTCCCAGAAGTCAAGTGCAATGAAACCCTAGATTTGGGACTTTCAGGTACTAGATTGACCTCAATTTAGTCCATAAAGACTTAAAAACCTTGTTTTTGGATATTCATTTGGTCATGGAGCAATTTGGAAGTGAGACAAAGCAGATTTCGGTGTCCGGGGTTGGTCTCGTAGATTCCGTTTTGACTGAAGTGACTACAATCAAAATAGATGGAGCAAATTATTTGGTCTAGGCACAATGTTTATAGTAGAGGTTAATAGGGGTATCTTATAGTCAGTAAGGACAAACTAGCAGAGACCGATCCTACATATGAAAAATCAATGCAAAAGAATTACACAGTGATTGGGTGGTAGTCAACTCTATACAACCCTACATAAGTCAATATTACCTCTGGATGACGTCGGCCAAGGAGATTTGGGATAGTGTCGCAGAAACATATTCTCGGAAATTGAATGCTGTAAGAACATATAAGTTGAAGAATGATGTGAACAATTTGAGACGGTGGGAGAATAGTGTAGATTTGGGATAGTGTCGCAGAAACATATTCTCGGAAATTGAATGCTGTAAGAACATATAAGTTGAAGAATGATGTGAACAATTTGAGACGGTGGGAGAATAGTGTAGATGTCTACTATTTTATGTTGAAGTCAATGTGGTAGGAGATTGATGTTATGAAAGCACTTGTATGGGAAAGTACCAAAGATGGAGAGACATACTTGAAACTGGGCAAAGATGAAATAACCCTTGCTCAAGCATATTCTATGGTGAGAAGTAAAGGGCATAGGGGACAAGTATAGTTACAGGGACCACCTTTAGAACACTTTGCACATGTGGAATAAAGCCAAAGGACCAATTGAGAAGAAAGAGGTAATATGTGTATATAGCAAGAAATTGAATCATATTAAGGACACTTGTTGGAAACTTCACCATAATCTTCTCCTAGAAAGGTTTCAGAATAATAACGACAACTTTAAGAAGAATAGTCAGCCTGGAAAGCCTAAGAATGCAAATGTTGCCATAACACATGAAAGAGGAAATAGAGAAAGTGAAGAGAAATCTACTATGGAGAAACTCGCAACAGTAAAGGCAAAATTCCTAAAAAAAATAGTTCTATAATGCTTATTTGATGTAGATGACAAGAGACTTACATATGGGTGAGAGATTATTAAGATCCATGTGTGAGTAGATGTATCCCACATTAGAAAGGGATAAGATAGGCAAGGGACTTGTATACAAGGAATTGACCCCACAACCTAATAGCTTAAGTTTTTTTGGTTAAAGGTGGTGTCCAAATCTTGTATACAAGTCTTATGCATGTGCACAAGATTTTTGGTTTTGATGACTCCCTTGTTTCCCCCAAAATGTAGAATGAGAGTTAATGGTTAGCTTAGCATAAGTTTCAATAAATGCACGTGGTGACTTTGATGCTGGCAAATAAGTGTGGACTCCCTATGGTTATAGGCAAAGGGCTCTTGGTTGGTGCATGTATAACTTTGTGTGAGACTATTGGATGCATGTATGGTAGATGTGTTCCACATTGGAAAGGCAAAGGGATTGTATTTAAAGGATTGGCTCATAACTTAATAGCTTAAACGTTGGGTTGAATGTGATGTCCACCTCTTGTAAATCCTTTATCTTTCTTATCCCTTGTCAATGTGGGGCACATTTACTCGCACTTGCATTCCAACCATCTCCCCTCCATTTTTGAGTCTCTTGTCATCTACATTAGGTACTCCTTCCCCAAAAATGGAAGTTCTCATCAAATCATCAAGTTTAACACACACCAACCAAGAGCCCTTTATCATGACGATAGGGAGACCATGCTCAACCATAGGTGGAGTCATGTGAGTCACCAACCGTTCTTTCCAATAACTCTCATGTGAGTCGCTGTATGCACTCATCAAAACCTACATCTAGTTAAACCATTAGCTCTAATACCATGAAATAAGTGTTCAATGCAGGTATGAAGAGAGAAAAGAGACATAATGACCCAGCACTACTAATGAGGCACGATATAAGAGGAAGAATCTTGATGGGTTTGGTGCCCCCACCCTTATTTTATTAGGGTGACATAATAAATGAAGAAAAAGCAAAATGTCCCTATATTACTAATGAGGCACAATATAATACAATACACCACACTAATCCTTCAAAGTTCATAAACTCTTAAAAATATGATCCATAATTGAAATAAAATGTAACATGTGGAAAGAACAAAACTTCCAAAGGAATAATCAATGTTTAATGTTCATGATGAGAAAAAGAGTTCTCGATCAATTTGAAAGAACCATAAAAGGGGGATATAGATCAAGAGAAATAGAGAATCAACACCTTTATACACTTAAGTTATTGACAAGGTTAGAAAGGGAATTAATTTAAACTGATATGGAAAAGAGAGAAGGGTATTGTAGGAGAGTTTGCATCAAAGTTAGAGGAGCAAAACTCAAACTTATCAAGTCTAAGGAAATTTCACTCTTTTGGCAATCAAAAGTATAGAAAAGGTAATATCTTAAAGCTCTTTTGTTTAAACACTCAAATACCATGCAATGCCCACAAGACAAAAAAAAAAAAGAACCTCTCTTGGGAGAGGGGGGAAACATTGATAATCTCTATAACCTCAAGCCAAAGTAAAAATTTTGACAAACTCATAGTGGTTCTAAACTAAAATCAATTGCAAAAATAAAAACAACAAACAGACATGATAAAAAAGGAGAAACTCAAAGAAATGTTGGGGAAAAGAAGCATAAAAAAGTAAGCGACAATCTTGACAAATCAACAACCACGAAAGTGAAAAAAAAAATTGCCATTCATTTATTTCCATCAAAACTGCACTGCCTCTAGCATTTCTAGATGGACCTGTAATATTTATTCGATGAACTTCCACAATTTACAAAATTAAATTCCTCATGACAAACATGTCATCAAGTAAAGTTACCTAAAGGGTTGTATTTATTTTTAGAATTTTGATTTGTATTTTTGCATCCAAAAGAAAGACTTTATTGTCGAACTTTCTTATGGCATGCTAGTAATAAGAAAAAAAACTAAATAAGTTTCTAGTAGTTCTGGAAAGTTATTAGGTAATAGCAAATCACTAACAAGTTCACAAGTATATTCTTTTTGGTTTATGATTATAGTAAACTTAAGGATAAAGCTTCATGACTTCTACTTTTTAAGACAAAATACTTAAAATCCTCATTAAAATATTGGGAAGTAGGACATGAGACACATGGCTTATAAATGAGATAATATTCAAAGTTTACATGGCTTTGTAAAAATGTTGAAGGTTTACGATCAACTTTTCTTAGGAGTGCCTACTTTGGTCATTTATTTATATTAATTGTGAAAGACAAGCTCATTGTTAGAAAAAGAATGAACAACCTATTAGTATGTTTTATATTCATGTAGTACAATAAACCATGAAATTAGTAAATAAAACTCCTGCTATCTTAAGCAAGAATATAAGAATTGTGGTGGCACAATAATTACAAACTAGAACTCAAACTGAACAAAAGATTTTGTTATAGTCTCTAGTTTGACATAATGATGATATATTGTTCGGATGCTTATACCTTGCATTTTTAATGGATGCAAATGTTAGATAGTGTATGCCCTTAACTTTAATCGGATTGATGTACAAATGCATTTATTTTAAATGAATAAAAGTAGATTATTGTTTCATGTTGATATTCGTATGTTTCTATGTAATTACCCCTTAAACTGGACACATATGAGACTTGTGTTAATTTAAAATATTCTCAGTTGTTAGATAGATTTGAGGGGTTTTTCTTGCCAAGGCTGACACTAATGTGTTGCTAAAGAAGTTGGGGCAGCATGTCTTAGCTTTTAGGGTTAGACCCAAAGCACATGTAGTGTGTATTTGGATGAAATGTTGAACTCAAACCATTTTTCAGTTATGTCCTAAATCTTGGAGATTGATGAGCAAAACTAAAAAGTTACACATAACCTATAGACTTGGTTATGGTATTGCACTAAGTGTTAGATTGGGTTGACTTTGATATACCAATCAGTGATATTCATAAAGGGTCAAAACCTGGGTATGTTGGGGCAGTTTGAAAATTCACTTGAGTGGGTGATCATAGTAATAAGATCAGTCCCTTTATGGACAAAGTGAATGATAGGGTTTATACTCTCTGATGGAAACCTAAACTACTGGCAGTGAATTTCAACTATTTAATATTTTATGAAAAATGTTTGCAAAAGATTTTAATCTTGGGATCCGTCCGAGTAGAGAGTGCAACACTATACCTTGCAACCAGGGGAGAGGTCATTCTCTGTCGAGCAGTGTTATGATCATTATGGACCGAGAGGTTAAGTGTAAGAAACCATTAAGGGTTGTTTACCTAATGGACTTTATCTTACTTAAGTCCACTATCCTTGGGTCTTCATAAGATGACTGAATTCAATGATTATTTAAGTGTAAATATTGGGCTCATATTGAGTTCATAGTTGATTAGGGGTTCATTGCGTTTAACAGTGAATTCATTCAAGCATTTTCATAGAGGCTCGGCCAAACCCATGTGGACATATATGAGGTCATTATAAGGTCCCATGGCATAAAAATTAGGCCTAAGTGGGCCAAGCAACATTATGGAATCGTGAGCCTTATAGCTGATGGGCCTAAGATCCATAATTAATATGATTAATTAAGCTTGTCATGTGTCATGGGGTGAATCTGGGTATGGAGCACCTAATCTTATAAGAAAATGTATATTTTTAATTAGAGTCCAAATCTAATTTAGATCTAGATTATCTCCTAATTAGATTAGGAGATAACTTTATAAGAGATAATAGAAGAGGAAGGGGCAGACCAGTCCAAGACAACATATTTTTGCAGTTTCTAGTTCTCTCAGCACCCTTTTGTCTCCTAGTTTTTTCCTAGTTCAACATCAACTATCTGGGACTGGTTTAGATCAATTTTTATTTGACTTTTGCAAGAAAAATTTAGGGAATATTAGGCTCATCATCCTCAATTTGATCCAAACAGTTGGATCTTAGTTTTGTTAAAATTTGTGTTATTGAATCAGCTTCACTTATACATTGCGTCATCTTTAGTGGAGGCTGGTTTTATAATTGATTTGGGCGTAAACTTCCAACTTGGAATTTGCATTTGTGGTATCCGTATCAAGTACAAATCTCCCTTTTTATTTGGTTTCAAATTTGGCCCAATTCAGTGCAAGAGTGATCTAGAAAAATATAGTTTTTCAAAACATAGGGAATTTGATTCCCAAAAGGATTAAAAAATTTTGAAATTTCGCCCAACCATCTAGTATGGTTCGACATCCCTATGATGGATCCTAACCCTTCCAACAACAAAAACTTTGCTCATATTGATAAGTCTGACTCTTGCATCTTCTGTTGATAAGACTTTAGATATAAGCAAAATCATTTTAATGGTTATTTGAATTAAGTATAAATCAAAAATAAGAGATTGGATTGGCATCATGATTTGTCTAAGAGCCTTCTATAGTTAGTCATGAATCCATTTTTTCTCCTTGATTATGTATCATGTACAAAAAGCAATTACTTGGGTGTCTTTATTGTGTATGAGTTCTATAGTTCTTTTATATATAGAATTATGTACCTAACGTTGTTAGAAAGTGATTATTTTTCAAGGCTTTCACCGTTAATAGTCATTGTATGGTTTTTGTTATTCTTGCAGATTGTAGAGAGTCATAAACTATACTTTCTTCAAGTGGAGGAATACATAATTCAATACTAATATTTATTCTTCTACACATTGATGTAGCTATGCCATTCATAGAGAAAAGCATATTGATCTTACTTTTTTGTGGTATGGATTAAAAGATAACATTAGTCATTTCCTCTCCTCTTTTCAATTCTAATGACTACTTCTGTCATTCTCCCAACCCGAGAAGTCTACAACCATGGTAGCTACTATATAATCCTTCAAAATCTTAGTTGTCATGAAGCAAGCATTTAATGATCATGGCCATTATGTCTTTGATGATTGTCCAAAGTTTTGTAGGAATTTTCTTTCTCAAAACTTGTATTCTCTTGCTAATGTATCTTGGGAAAACATGCATTTGATAAGAAGGGACAAGCTCTAATTTTTTTCACCATTATGATTAGTGTGTGTGTGGGGGGGTTATTTTAGGTCCTTTTTAGTAGATATGATGCAAATATTTTGAAACCAATTATTGTAACCACAAGAATATCAATCAATGCTATGAAAGTCTCAATGTATGACCAAATTCTAAACAGTTGCAAATCCCTATATGATAGAATGGCTAAGTTTATAACATTGAAAAAGTTATTTCAACATTATGCAATTTCTCCCAAGGGACATCAATGTAAATTATTTGACAATGGTGCAATTACAATCATTATAGAGGATTATTCACATTTCACAAATGAATATAACTAAAAACCTCAAAGACACAAATCACTATTTAGGAAATGAGTAAGCTTATCCAAACAAGTTGGAGCTAGGGCTGCAACCTAGGTCGGCCCATACTACCCAATTGAGTCTTTACACAAGCTTATAAACTTGGAAATTTATGTTTTTGGTTGGGCACAAACCCAAAAAACTTAGACTTGACCTTAATTTGGTTTGGTTTGAGGCTATGGTATTAGGTAATTTAAACATAAATTTGTGAGAAATGTGTTATCACACCTTATATGAGTATCATTTCAATTAGAAAGATGCTTGTGTATGAATAACATCAAATTTGGGATTTTAGGTAGAAATAGCAATTTGTATTGATTAACTCAAAACATTTCAGGTGGAAAAATATGTTTTACACAAATTTGCATTAATCTATCCAAAACACAACAACAACACAACACCATTTCACCAAACATCACCATATTTATCTAATGTATATATGTACTTTTTTATTACATATTCACATATTATTTACACTAGGAAATATGCATGTGAGAATTTTGAAAATAAATGAGTTATTAAATAATATATATTATTAATAATATTAATTAAAAAGTCGATAAAATGAATTCAAAACATACATAATTTTATTATACATATATTATTAATAAATATATGTTCTATTTTTGTTGACACATAAATTTACACACAAACTAATATTAAATATTGAAATCTTAATTGTATTAGATATCATTCTAGTTTTAAGGCTATCTATTCTTGAGAATGAAAATTGGTTTAATTAAAAATAAAAATATATTAGTGACATTGAAAAGTGGCACAACGTTACATATAAGAAAATTGATCAACACTTTCATCACTATGCGATTAACAATCTTGACTCAGTTCAAGACTACTACATTAATAGAATCTAGACAATTTCACTACAAGAGCTTTGTGTATCACTTCCACTAGTGTCAATGTGGTTAACAATCTTGACCCATTTCAAGAGTACTACATTAATAGAATCTGGAACACCTTCCCTATTATAGAATTCATCAAAATATAATTTTTTTTTGTAAACTACTATTTCATTCATTAATACAACAAATTTGAAAGCCAAATTGGCATGATGTGAAACCATCCCCCCTTAGGATTGGACATAAAACTAAATAATTAGCCACAATGTTTTAAGACTAACTAATATAGATCTAAGCAACACACTAAAAAATAGTAGTTTATTTTTAATATCTTGTAGTAGAAACCAAATATTACTGCCAATAGCAATAGAAACCCCTTATAGAACTTGAATAAAAGGTAGGCAATTCTTGATTTAATGGGCAGAGCCATCCCTCATCTTGTTTAATTTTCCTATTTATCAAAAACAAAGTAAGAGGTAAATAGTCGCAATTAATGCAAATGGAATTTAGACTCAAAACACAAGTAGTTTGTAGACTTTGAAACATAGCATACACTTTAGAGAATAAGGCCTAGTATGTGTGATCAAACAAAGCTTTTGTTGTTCATAAAAGATCATTAGAACTAAGAATCAAAACGCCATAGCCAACATAAACATTAGCTATATAGCTACCACCAGTTCACACTTAGGCAAAACAAACATAGGGAGCTCAGGGACCAATCAACAACCTATTTGTAAATTTAATAGTTAGCTTTTGATTATACAACTTATTTTTAACCTGTTTGCAAACTTACTTGGAATTCGATCAAAATTTAATTTGCATATAGAATTATTTTGTCATAAAAAGAAAAAACAAGAAAATTGTAGTATAGTTATTGTAAAGAACTATTCCAACACCTGAAATTGATTAGTTGTGGCTCCAAGACCCTATAGTAAATGGATGCACCTATTGTTTTTAGGGAGGACTACCAAAGTGTAGATAACACAATGGTTAATTTGGGACCATGTACTCATTTGGATAGTTATATTTTGGTTACTCCTTTAATGGCATTGCATACCCTAATAGTAATATTGATAAAGTTTTACCATGATGGGTCATGATTGTTGTCTTAGTTCTCTAGCACAAACATGACAAACATCATGCAGATAGCATAATCCATAGAAATGATTGTGTGAAAAAAATACTTAAAATGATCTATTACGATTTCATCACATTTTTAATGGCGATTTAGCAATATAGTACCATATAAGCCATCTTGGTAAACGTTTACAATGATGGGAATGAAGTGTTAACCTGTAATTTGGGGGTATAAGGTAGTCATCTCAGATGTATGATATTGTTTGAAAATGTGTTAAAGATATACTCGACATGGCGGTGGTGGTTACCTTTTGGTCACCCTGCCTTTAGCAGTAGTGCATGCCCTGGTTGCTAGCTTGGCAAAATTTGATCAAGATGGGTCAATAGTGTTTCCCTTGTTGTTTGGCATGGACATGACAAATCTCATATGGATAGCATGATTCATGGAGACAACTTTATGAAAACTTAATCAAAGGGATCTGTTATTATGTCATCCACCATCTTAAAATATGACCATAAAGTACAAATAGGCCTGATTCAGATTTCTAAATCCCAACCCAGTTTGTAGCAAATTTCAAAAGTCTAGATAACGTCAACAAAAACATTTGATGGACAGATTCCCACACCATATAAGATAACTTGTCTATGCTCATGACCTAGAAGACAAATTGCCATTATAGAGAGCATGATGGCATAATAATAGACTCTTTTGATTAAGTTTTTATAAGATTAATTGGCGATGAATCATGCCATCCAAATGATGTTTATCATGTCCTCTCTAATGACATTAACCAACACCTTATATCCATCTTAGTAACATTTTAGCAAATTATCACTTAGGGCATGCGATGTCTATGTAATGGTAGCTGAAATAACTAATACCCCATACCTAATATACATTTCATTCATTATCAAACAATATTACACATTTGTGATTGTTGTCATGTGCCCTCAATTTTAAAATTAACACGTTAACCTTATCTTGGTAAATTCTTACCAAGTTTGATAATATGACTTTGAATTGTCAAATTACCTTTAAGGAGAATAACTGATAGTATTATGTCATTATATTTAAGTTAATTGATATAGAACATGTTATCCAAATGATGATAGGCATATCCTTTCCATTGAACTTCACTAACACTTTAGACCCATCTTGGTATAATTTTATCTAGGTAGTAAATTTTTACTACTTAAACTCATTGTGGTGAAATTTGTCAAATGGCCATTAAAGAAGTGGTATACACACATTAACCAATACTATTTTGTTTCTGCCATTCAGTTAATTGTAAGGAAATATATTATCAAAATGAGGATGATCATGTTCTCCCAAATGAATTTAGCCAACACCCCAAACCCACCTTGATAATATTTTATCAAGATAGTAGTTAGGGCATGTAATGCCATTAAGGAGATGGTGTACACACATTAACCAATACTATTTTGTTTCTGCCCTTTAATTAATTATGAGGAAACACATTATCAAAATGGAGATGATCATGTTCTTCCCAATGAATTTAACCAACACCCCAAACCCACCTTGATAATATTTTATCAAAGTAGTAGTATGGGCATGCAATGCCACTATAGGAGGATAATTAAAATATAACCGCACCATAGCTAATATATATTTCTTTTATTAGCAAACAACATTACATATTTGAAATGGTTTTTGTGTGTCTTCAAATTTAAAGTTAACCTATTAATTCTATCTTCATAAATTTTTACCAAGTTGATTGATATGGCCTCACGTTGCCAAATGGTCATTAAGGAGAGGTGAGCATATAATAATCAATATAGTTATGTCATTGTCTTTGAGTTAATTTCCATAGAACATATATCCAAGTGATGATGATGTACTCCTCAATGAATTTAGCCAACATATTAAACTCATTTTAGTAAATTTTTACCATGATGTCACTTAAGTCATATACAACCATTATGGAAGGGAAATCAAAGTATAACTAACACAATTATGTCTAATATATCTAATTCATTATTAAATAAACTTAAACATTTGTTATGACTTCTACATGTCCTCGCACTTCCATATATCTTTTACTAAGCCAACAATTTGGGTATGCAGTTCCACTATAAGAGGATAACCAAAATATATCTAGTATATCTTTCTTTCATTGGAGAACAATATTACGTATTTGTAATGGTTTTTGCATGAGGTCAAATTTAAGAATGACCTCATAATTCCATCTTGGTAAACTTTTATCAAGTTGGTTAATATAATCCTTGTAGCCAAATGGAAAATAAGAAGGTGAGCACAAAATAATTGACATTATTCTAACATTTTTAATGAGGATAATACTATTCTACATGATATCTAAATGAGAAGTCCATGTCCAGGCAAGTGAACTTAATTATAAATTCATCTATGTAATTTTTTACCAAGTTAAAGTTAAAGCTATAAAAGGCTAATATGAAAAAGCATATAATATCTAATACCATTATGTCATGTACATCAAGTTTGAATGCTGCAATAATAAAACCAAAATGAGGATTCCCATGTCATAGCATGAAAAACAAATAAGGATCTATTAATTAGCAAAAACATGCATGTCCCATTAAGGAACTACCAATTGGCACATATGATCCCATATTTGCCAAGTTGTCATTAAGGAGATGGTGTACATACATTAATCAACACCATTTTCTTACTTCTTTTAAGTTAATTGTGATGAATATTATCAAAATGGTAGATTGATAAAATTTACCAGGCTAGGTT